AATAATTCAATGTTAGTTTCAAGATGGCGATCGTAAATTGATCACGTAGTGTAATATAAAGTGCACATGAGATCATAAATACGTTGAATTTGTTTATTCAAAACAAGGAAAGGGCCTCGCTAGTTTTATTGTATATGATATATTATGTTCATAAAAACGGGAATAAACCAATTTTCCGTTTATGGCCTCCCTCTTTTGTCTCTGTTCAGTTTGGGCGGTCGTGTGTAGTGTTGTCCCGCTCTAACCTCAATATAAGCATAGTTATTATCTATGTTGCTCTTTGTCTGAGATATTGCTGTAATTTTTTTTGCTGGCCCTCTATCGGGAAGACAGAGATCTGATAATTTCGCTTTAGGTACGGATAATCCGGGCATTTTTTCTTAAATGATGATAAGGGGCGATATTTTACGGTAGACGAACCATTTTTCCTTGCTGTCTTCCTTAACTTTACAGTTATTTTTCGTTTTTTTATGGATTATTAATTTCTTTACTTAAAGGATTACGTATTTCTTGTTGGAGGAAGGGTCTTGATGGTTTAACCCAATTTGGTATATTTTTAGACTGGGGATATGCTTGCTTTGTCTTTGTTTAGCCTATATTCTTGAAGTGAATGTTTGATGTAACTCACACGCTGGTCCTTGGAGGCGTGCGTTGGCGGGGTGTAATTAATAAGCGAGGTGCTAGTGAGTGAGAGCGCGATAAGCCGCGCGCCTCTCGTAAATCACCCTCGCTAATGACGCTGCATGGCTACACGGATGTCGGTAGCTGGAAGTGCGCGCACTTACTCAGCAACTCGGTATTGTGGAATGGAAGCTTTATTATTGGCTGGAGAAGTGAAACCAGCAAGGCAAAAATAAATCAGGGCTTTCTATAAAATAACATGTTACGGTGGCTCATGGGGGACAACGATGAATTTGATCTCTAATGTCTATACTTATTTTTTTAATTATGTTATCGGCTTACTCACGTACCTATTTGACGAGGAACTTGACTAGTTAATTATTTTAAATAATCAAGCTATAGAGTTTGTTTGTTTGACCGATGGATCTATAGAACTACTGGACAGATTTCTATAATTATTTTTGTTTTTGAATATTTATTAGGAAAGGCTATAAGTAGCACACTACGATCAATAACACCTGAGCGGCACGGGAATAGCAAGTAATTTTTTTTATTGGTAAGTCAATAAATTAGTAGTCAGGCTGCTTGGCTGCTATCTAGCCTGAGTAAGTAAGTATAAGTTATTACTTATATTAATTAAAAAAATACTTTAAGAATCACAACACAACAGCCAGCATTAATCAAATATAATTTAAAAGTGTGATCCACAGAGGCACAGGTAACGAACGAACCGTCTATTCATTACCAAAGTTTACGAATTAAAACCGGTAAACATTTTGAATTATGTGCCCTCCCGTCGTTTATAAAGCAACGGTGAATTACAGAGATTTAAGGTAAATCCGGAGAATTATGCTGAAATCCTGTAATGGTCGAATGGATGTTTGTAGTTGGAGAGGCTCGTGTGGAATTATTATATGGATGAATTCGTTGCGTGTGATAGAATGGAAAAACTGGTTTGAGATCGTATTGAGAAAAGCGAGGTTTTGATTGAGGAACTTTTCTTGTGATTGGCGTTTGGTTTTGTACTTATTGTCAATATGTATAATGATGAAGTTTGATTATAAAAAATATGTAACTCAAATCGCAAACATAACGTCACGCCTTTTATCATTTAGCAGAGGTGTACATTATGCCACTGTACGATGTAACACCCACTTTTCACTATTTATATTATGAGTCCCATGTAATAGGGGGTGGGCCTATAACCATATACTGGGCACAATTCCAGACTCCGTGCTACTACTGAGAATTAAAAAAAATAATCTAGTATTACTTTGCCCGACCCGGGAATCGAACCCGAGACCCCTTGCCCGACCGTCGCACTTGCGACCACTTGGCCAACGAGGCAGACATGTAAGTCAAATCCTTTCTTATAAAACAGAAAACTATTACATTTAGTAAAAACCAAATTCGGTATTTGATCGTCAAACAAGTACCCCTTTTCACACATTTTTTTAGTCAGTAAGTTTTCCTACCCCTCGTAGCATTTTTAATAGACACCTTCCAATTAATTGTAAAGAATAGAAGCCACATCCATTCCCTATACATTCGCTTCAAGTCTCACCACCCGGTCTCTCGAAGCGAACAAACAAACAACACTTCGCACACACACACACACAGCTACGTAAACAAACGTATTTATAAATCGCTCGCACTCGATTTACACAGCAGTAAATAGTTTTTAATTTATTGTGAGTGAATGCAGTGTAATTTAAATTCATTGTCAATGTTTGCGGTTAGTATTGCTTTCAGTTGAATAAAATGGATGTAGTATATTGTTATCTGAGTACCAAGCACGAATAACTATCGCAATCGTAACGTAATAGTATCGAGCGCGTTAGGCACTCCGATTGGTAGATTTACTGGAGCCGGCCAATCAGAGCACCGAATGCATTCGATACTTAAGATTGCGATTGCGATTCGTTACGATTGCGATAGTTATTCGTGCTTGGTACTCTGATAACAAAGTACGAACAATGTTGATAAATAAAAAAAAATGGAACCATTTACAAAGTATGAGCCTATTGCCATATACCGGGCACATTTCCAGACTCCGCGCTACTACTTAAAATACCCAGTAATACTTTTTCCGACCCGGGAACCCGAGACCCCTTACCCGGCAGTCGCACGTGCGACCACTTGGCCAACGAGACAGTCAAAATTATTTATTATAATTAGATTTATCTAATTATGTCCTGTTTACAGAACAATCAAAATAAAAATATGGTGTCTTAGTGATAAATATAACTCTATTTACGAAGGTAAAAAGACTTTATCGACACCTTCGCCCACAGACGTTACATTTGCATCCCCTGTCATATGACGTCAGTTGCAAAAAGAGGAAAAAAGTAATCATACGCTCCAATATTTTGCTGCAAAATTCTGCCAAAATCTCGAGCTTAGGACACATATAGTAACGCAATATAATATGTCTGTCGGTCGGTTCGCGCCGGTTCGCGTCACTTCACATACGCGATTACGGTAATGCGATTGCGCTTCGCCGTCGGCCAAGTGCGCGCGCCCTTAATTAGCGCTGCCCGCACAACAACCACCACCCAAATTTAAACTCTACCCCATACGGCTATACGGCTCATATTCATCCGACCAAAATATTCCATCGAAGGCAGAGTTAATTATGTGATCGCGAAATCACATTTGACGGTATCGGAAATCATTAAACGGGTGCGTGTTTTCATCACGAAATTTTAATTAATGGGGCGAAAGGGTTACAATTTTGTTAAGAATCGCTCTTTCAACTTCCTACTAAAATTAAGAAAGGTTTAATTAATATTCGTAGTCAATTGGGCCTTTTAACGCCGTGCTACGCTTTAAATGCTACGTCGTAGCAAATCCTACGCCTACGTTGCTACGTGCGTAGCCGATGAGTTACGAAGTCCGTGCTACGAAATCAGCTACACTTCTGATTCCTTTGCTACACGCAGTTAACGTCCATATTTATTTAATAATAGGCCATAATAGATTCTTAATAACAATTAATAGGCTCGCAAGTATCATTAAGTAGACAAATAAAACCCGTTTATTTACCATATCAATTCGATGCGAATAAAAACGTAATAAAGGACGGTGTTAGACTGGGGAAGTTTTTAAGATGGCGACTGACAATGGATTACGAATTTATTTGGGGTTCCCCGCTTTGGGAGTAAGTGTGGTGGAGACAGTTATATTGCCTAAGTTAATGCATAAATAAAAGGTAACAATATAGACTGGTTTTAAGGGTTCGGAAGCGGACGTTATAAGGTAGAATAAAAATTATGTTTGTAGTTCGTAAGAAGTAGGTTGGGAATTTATTTACATTCCACTGTATGGTTGGGTAGAGGAAGGAATTAATCTATGTAGCCTTAGTATTTAATTATTTATCCTAGATCTAGGCTGGGAGTAGTTGGCATTCTAGTTTTACGTTAATCGCTGTTAAAAAGTGATTGTACTAGAAATAGATAGTTATCAGGAAAAGTGCTAATTCACGATGCAATTTTAACATGAAAATATGATCATACAACTTCCTGCAAAAGCTGGTTAAACGAATAAACTATAACTGAAGATAATGATCATATTTATTATCTTGCATAAGTCAGGGTACGGTTGAGGAAGCAGGTAATAACTTGAGCCATAAAATGTTCGCGTTTATTGTGCACATCAAGCTATTCATAACCAGTATAAACTGACCGTTGAATGTACTGAAAGATTACACGAAGCGAGGCGAAAATAAATTGGTTGTGTACAGCTTGTTTTGCAGTTATGTATACTACAGCAGTTATCAAGGCACTTGATTAAAACTTTATTCTATTTTTACGTGCCATAAGATCTATCAATTAGACACGTTTACTTCACGTAATTTCCTCGAAAACACCTAATAACTCATGTATTTTCGAAACTTTTCTAAGAAAATTAATATTCGTATTATTAACTAGAACGTACTTTATTTTCGTGTCGTTCCTTTGAAATGAAGCCTTCCAGTTACATACTTAATCAATGTAAATATGAAATTGATTTTTTTTTACATTTTCTTTTAATAACAATTTTACTAGTCTGTCGGAAAGACTTCAAGTGACCGTTTCGTTTTTCAGAGAGATATGGCACACTTAATTGTGGCGTAGGTATATGTGGTAATAATCTATGGTGATAAATTGTCTTTGGTCATATATTATTTATGGCGCGTAGCGGAGGCCGCGCTTTTGAAAAAAATGTAAAACGAAATAAAAGAGTGTCAATAGCCTTCACTCGTTTTACTTTGTTTATTTTATTTTATTTACTATTTATTTTATTTCATTTACGTTTTATTTTATTATTTATTTATTTATTTGTATTTCGTTCCCGTATAATGTATTTAACAATAACTAGAAAGGCACCAAAGTACTCACCACTCTCAGAGACTGATGAGGGCGACCGCTCCGCCGTGGACACTCCAGACGACGAGGATTCTAAGGACGAGAGCGAATCAGCTCGCGTTGTGTGCGTATGCGTCATCGAACTCTCCGATAGTCTTGAATCTCTGGGTGCATCGCTCAGCTGGTTCAACCGCCGCTGTAGGTAGCGCTGCTCCCTCGCCAGTTGCTCCTTGTGACTAACATGCCTCTTCTCTCGCTCTTCCAAACTCTACAACAATAGAAAAATGCTGTTAGAATATGTCATATTCAGAATGGATTGTGGTAGATAATTAAGGTTTAGTTTATACTAGCTTTTACCCGCGGCTTCGCTCGCGTCACAAAAGGATAAAAAGCCAATGTGACATATACCAATACACACAGCGCCACCTATACCAATACTTTTGTTTGCCATCGGGAATATCAAATTTTTCCGGGATAAAAAGTAACCTATTATTTAATCCGGATTTCTAACTATACATCTACAAAAATTGAAAGCAATCGGTTTAGTAGTTACGGCGTTAAAGTGGAATAAACAAACAAACAAACAAACTCATTATCCGATTTTAATATAAAAAATAGTTTATATTATATAGATACTACTGCGTTCAATCGTTTATTTAGATATACGTAGTACGGTGAAGGAAAATAACATCGTAACATTGTAAGGAAACCTGTGCTTATAATTTCAAATTATTGAAGTTGTCAAAACCCCTTTAAGCAAGCCTGGTGAATAATGATCATTTCATCTAAGTGTGAAAAGAATCATTTTTTAGCAGCTTGATATTTACAGGCTCATGATGATAAAACTTGTCACTAAAATACTATGTCATACTAAAAACATTTACTAACTGCAAAACAAAATACGTCTACAGAACTCAGCAACAACGAAAATGCCTACGAGAACAGAACACGAAAAAATATACAATACCAATTAGACATGAACAGAACAGAGGCAAACAATAATTTACTGTGAAACTTCTTCCTATATTAGCAGAACTACAGCGCAGACAGGGCAACATTTACGAAAGAGATTAATAGTATCAATAACAAGAAACTATTGGGTAATTAGACACACATAATGTGGTACTCGAAACACATTAATCACTACAGCCTGATTTACTAACTTAGGTCTTTGACGGTTAGCGTTAATCACAACTAGTGTTCTTAGTTTCGGATAGATGACTTGTGGTACGCAAATGAGATTAAGCCGTGGCATGTTGTATCGACGGTTTTAATGTTATACTGTATTCTAGTATTAACTACAAAATATCTGCTAAATGTAGTTTAAAACATAATTGATAGACTAACTTCAATCTATGTAATAATAATTTTACCACAATGTTAATTTAAAAACATAATAAACAATCTCATGCTAAAACCCTGGTGTAAAAAAGACGAGCACCAATCAATAAGCCTTTGCGAAGTAAGCTCGGTGCTGTAAGTAATAAGTAAATATTAATTTATATCATCAATATTGACAGGGGAACACTAATGCTCTTATTGCAGCTTATAGTCCTCTTGTTCCGGCGACATCGAGTAGCGACAGCAAACAAAGCAAGCGACCGTCGACTCCTATCAATAAATACTTAATGACGCAACACGAAACATTTGTAAAGTATCGCCAGCTAAACATGGCATGTGTTCATTCGCCCCAACACATCAGACGGTCGACGTCAGCCTCTGCACATAGCAGTTTTTTGTGAAGCTCTTAAGAAAATGGCTTTTTCTAGAGCCCTATACACCGGGGACCGACCCGCGGGAAAAAAATGAGGATTATGTACGAGCAAGTTCGGGCAACTTCCAACACTGCAGGGTAGTCGATGAAAATTTCTCTCTTTTGTTTTTCTCTCAATGTGTCCATAGACTTATCTATACATTTATATACACAATGTATACTTAAATGGGAGTTACCGAGTTTCTTCGCGAGTTTAGAATGAATAGCTGTAATGTTGAATAATTCAGGTTATTTTCAGTACGGTTACGGCTTAGTATAATTTGGAATGTTACCATTCGCTCTTCGAGTCGATGTATTTTTGGAGCAAAATGTAGATTATAATGAGTTAGGTAATGACTGTGTAATCAAAATAGATTGAGGGTTATTACTTCACGACGCTTAATTTGGAGTCGAAATAACACTTGATTACACAACTGTTGAGTTGCTTAATGAACTTATTTAAGAGTCGTTAGATGAAAGTAAGGGAGACGTATCAAAATTCAACAAAACAATGACCGTGATATCAACGCATTCTTTTTAATTTTTTCCCATGAGCGGGGTGGCAGCCACCCTAGTAGCATTACAGTCAGGGCAGGGAAGGCCTTAGATGATATATCTGATCATAAATCTCCGGCAAGTCAGCGGACGGTGCAGTGCTGTCCGTATTTTGCAGTCCAAACGTTAAATGCCGAGGGAGATTTTAAATTTTCGCTGTTTTTGCGAATGATTAAATTATGGATGGAGAGAAATGGCCGTGGAAATTGTTTGCAGATGATGGATACGAAGCTTTTTGATTTTAAGGGAAATGTGAAGGCAATTTCGAAAAACCAGATGGAGTTTGCGCATTTGCATTGATAGATAGACTGGAATTAATAACTGACGAGGAGCTTTTTCAAATATTAATGAAATTTGTAGTACTTTTTTTTGTTTTCTGCAAGAAAGAAAATTAAGTCTTTCGCATAATAGCTCCATGTTCATTAACACATTATCGAAGCTTAGAAAGTGGTTTTCGAATTAAGATTCAATACATCACTCCTATGTAGACCCATCACCCAAGTATATAACGTACGTGTACCAGCAGAAATTATCCAATTTATACGTTCGAATGGACAGATTTCCAATATACTCGCACATAGGCACAAACCACAACCTTTGCTTTATCGATTTCCTGTCAGAGCATTTGAGCTCGAGCGATTCCGAATTATGTCATATTTGCTAGGTATATGTACGTATATAGCATGAACTATACCTATATTTTATGGATTACTGGTGGCATCCTACCCTCGTGTTATTGCACGCTATTTATTTTTTACGACCACCGCCCCGTTTAATATGAGTAGATTTCGCCTCTCCAAATAATCCACTCGTATTGCAAAAACCGGTGATGCTGAATAATCTGTGCACTCCGCATCTCAAAATGTTGATGTTTTTTGAAGGATTTTCCAGAGAATCGGAAATAAAATGTTAAGTGACGACTGTTTCCAATGTAGGGTGAATATAAATGGGCACAAAAATGACTGTTTCGCTCTTAATGATGCGGTAGTAAGTGACAATCAGGACGGACGATTTAACACAGTTCGCGTTAAACGCGTATTTAAAATACAACTGACCCATTTTAACATAACCATTTCAGAATCTAAAGAGCTTTGTATTAAATTAAAACAAGCTCATTATAAAAAGAACAATACCGGAGGAAGGCGTGGAACATTTCCTATAAAACATGGAAATTTTGAGGCTGATGAATTTTAAACAACATCGGAGTATCACTTATAACTTAATTGGTTATTAGAAAAGTTTTCCAATCTGCATGAGGAATTGCTTGGTGGTTGGAATTTTTAGCCGCTGTAAAATATAGCCGACATTGTTTATTTAGGCAGACTTGATGGAAAACGCCTGAGGAGTTCGCTCAGCAATTTGGTCGGTTTTTGACCTTTCGGCGAAGTTATTTCATACCGTCTGTCTTGGAATTTTTGAAGCTCGTAATAAATGTTACGTTGTAGAGGAGAAGGTAACAAATGCGATCAATTCTGTTTCGAAATCCGAGTTTTGCTTAAAGAAATATCTCACGTGAATTTCTTACCTCGACTATATTTTTTCTTACAATCATAGTCGACAGGTGATCACCGAGTGGAAAATTAGATGGACCGCTGACCTGGAAACGCTCGCAAGGATCCGTTGGATCTGAAGCCGTGTGTTGAGGCAGACTATTATGTAAACGTCAATCCATGAGTGGACGTCTTCTGGCTACCTACTGATAAATTCCATCAATATTTAGGTTTATCGAAGTCTACGCTAGATTTAGGCTTTAAATAAGTAAAGACTCGATTCCTTTATTATTCCATTCGTGTTTGTTGAGGATGAAATCAGTTTATACTAGTATGTATTTAGATCTAAAAGATCTTGTAGGGCATAATATTGAAAAGATTTAGATATTCCAAAGACCGGTTACAATGTTTTTTGAGACATTGCTTTCAAATGTAAACTCTACCTACAAGGACTTAGAACATAAATCTGGAATAAAAGCCAGATATCTGTATGCATGGCCGTTCAAAATGATAGATGGTATTTTGAGAGAGCAATTTTATGAAACTTCGTGAGTGTATGTATGTTGTATCTGTGTTAGTGTTGTCTCAAGTTGCTGGCAATTCGCTGGCTTATCGCTTCACTGGGGATGGGGCGAAGGGTTGTCGAGTGAAGCGAGAATTTATCCTTAAAAACATTTTTTTTAATTTTTCAAACGTAATACTGCTGCCACTCTGCTTTACTTTTATAATAGCTAGGGATTTCTTAAAAACTTTCTGTATTTTCAAATATTCCACTTCAAAATGAGTAAATGTTAAAATCGAGTTAGCAACTAATTGAAAGGAATGATTAAAATACGGCGGCGATCAATTAGAAATATATTTTGAGCTCTACCTCTATAATACACTAATTAACAATTTTAATGAACGTATTCATTGAATAATTTGTTATCATGACATTTCAATTAAGGTACCTATAGCTTGATGAAATTAACCGTGCTTACATTTGGGTTTGAAATAAATAAAATATATTCATTTCCTTTGTACATAATTGTAACGTGGATTATAAATTTCCAACATTTCGAAATTGCTATGTCTCCAAGATTAGTTCACTATCTAATCTTGAGCACATCTGTTCCATCATCATCATCTTCCAGTACAGAAAATGACCTATATCTCCTTAATTAAACTGTTTCACCGATTCACCCGTTACCATGGCAACCGACACCATAACTACAAACAAATTCAATTCCACATCATGGTCTACATTCCCAAATCTGTTCAGGCGTTAAGGCATGAGATACAAAGCATTAACTTTCACTTGACGATTATACTTGTCTATACTAATATATTGAATTTTTGTGTTCGGTAGTCCATTTATCAAGGTACGGTACAGGATATAAAACATCACTTTACAATCAATAGGAGCAGAACTACAGATGAAAACACGGGAGTACCTGGTATATTATATACTAGTCACATTCTTCATTTACA